CGTTTATGATAGGTACATATTGAAATATTATATTATATTGTTATAAAGATTTTATTATCATTATGTTTTGATCATTTCAATTACATGTTAAACATTTAAAATGAAAACGGTTTTGCCTTCACATAAATTTAGTTAAAAATTCAATACAACATTCAAGTTACCCAATCGAACATAAATTAAAAATGTAGTGTATGATTTTTCCATATGATTACATCAACTAAGGTACCTCATGTACCTGCTCTACAATAACATTATGTACACCTACCTACATATTATGTAAGCACGTACGAAATGTCATTAGTTATTAATTATTACTTATATAGTTATGGAACCGTACGGCATATACTCGTTTCCGGTATAACTGAGAAGGAAATAATAAAAATAATATAATAAAATATAAAACTGAAAGGTTTATAAATCATACAAGTGGTTTTATAAACTGTAGTCTTTCGTTTTTATAACGGGAGTTTTTTTCTCTCAAACTATACTCTAAACTCAAATTATTATCATTTTGTGTGATGGCTCATGTATTCAAGCTGGAAAAGTAGAAAATCGCGTATGTCCCCTTAAGTACCAACCTTTTAAAATATTATATTATTAGATTATATTATATAGTCTAAAGAGCAGAGATTCCCAAACTATGGTAAGTTTGGGAATATACATTTATTTTTTATAATATAACATATTTATTAGATTACTATTTACTATTTAAACTACTGTTTAAACATAATACATATAAAAAGAAAATATATATTTTAGGTAAAAAGTTCTAGTAAATGATACAGTATTCTCTGTATATAACAATAATATATTATATTTATTACTTTGGTATAAATGCAGCTTAGTAAGTTCCCATATCTGATTATAGAAGTTATTTTTATCAATTATCCTCGAGGATTAAATAATAATTAAATATATTTATTTAAAATAATTAATAGTTATCTCAAGGATATCGATCATTGATATAACGACAAAAAACCTGTCATATTAGAAGGTTGTGAAAAATACAAAAATTTTCCCAAATGGGTCGTACCTTGAAAAGTTTGAAAACCTCTGCTATAATAAGGTACTTGGTTTAAATTGTATGGTTTATAAGACGAAATGAATATCGAATACCTATCATGCATACCTAATATGGGTAAAGCCAATAAGCCATACCGTTTTTATAATAATAAATAAATAATAATATGATATAATCGATTAACATAATTTTATATAGGTACACCATACATCGATAATTTAAAAAACGAGCGTGGTTAAGTTATACATCACGAATTTGCAAAGAAAATCAACCTGCAATATTATCGTGCTAGATTGAACCACAGATGTAACGGCATCTGCAGTGAATAAATTCAAATTCGCGTGTACACCTGAGGCTACAAAATAAAATAAAATATCCCATATATCAATAAACCGGAATTAATTAGCACACGGCCTTCGACTTTCAAGGGTTTTCGTCTTCGAGTCTACCGCTCACGAGTCGAATCCTAGTCGTAGGTACATCATAATACATAATAGGTATAGGTAACTATTGTAATAACTATCGTATAACATTCTATACGCTAAAATATGTGTGATTTATGCGTGCGATTATAATTGCTCCGTTTTGATCCGATGAGTATGCATAGGTCGCACTTGTTGCATTGTTCAAAGACTTTACAGCCAGTGACTTAATACGTAATAATAATATATTCTATGAGCACTGTGTATACCTTATATTTATTGTTTGTAGTAAAGGTACCTGCCTACGACGTACGACAGAATATGTATATTTTCTTATTCAAGTTCGAAGAGACATTATTAATATACAATTTTTACCAAACGAGCGAAGACGACCATATTATTATTACCAATTATGCGAGCATAAACCACCACCGCGTGACCAAAAACATCGATCAGCCGATATAATGCGCATTGCGCATTTTTTTTTTTTACATCGTTTGACCTGACCCGTAGGTACACTTATACCAAGAGTTTCCGACCAATTTTAATCTTTTATTTTTTAACATGACTACATTTAAAAATGTTATAGACACGTCTTAACCGCTAATAGTTTAATCGACCAATCGGTTTTAATTGTTTATAACGCTCACAAGGTTGGTCAGCACGACTGTATACCTATTATAATATTATTGATTAACAGCCGCTTAGACGCATAATATAATAAAATGCGTATAGACTATAGGTACTTACTAAACTTAATTATATTAATTGAGCTCGTCGAACGGTTACATTAATGTTAATCCTGCGTAGCGGTTCATAAGTAGAATCGGCTTATACTATTATAATATACCTACGTCTAGAACCGAATTGACTTTTATGCGACATTTAAAACAAAACTATATTTGCTGCCAGATTGTCCAGTTATAAATAGAAAAATGAAATGGGTGTGTCATAATTAATATTTGACGAGATGAAGCAACAATTGAGATTTGATTGAATAACAAAGCTAATAATAAACGTTCAAAAATCCGTAACTTGTTTCAAGAGTGTACAAAAGAAAACCGTTAAAATTGATGTTGTTCAGTTGAATATTACTTTGATTTATCGTTATTTCAACGGTAATAATAATAATAACCATACATTATTTAAACTACACGTCAAAAATCATAATTTAACGAAAAATATTTCATAAGCCACCGGATTCGTTCTGTTGTCGTGACATCATTTTTTTCGGGGTGGGGGGATTTTATAGACCGTACAAGCGATATATGATAATATACAAATATACAATATATATTATAATGATATAGTTATATAATTTAATGGATATCGTTAAAATATGGATCTACTTCATACAATGTAATTACAATTTTAAAGACAGTCGTTTTAATCAGTTGTACACACTTTGTTAGTAGCTATTTATGATGTATTGTTATTATTTTATAAATGTATTATGAGCACTATAAAATTAATTCACCAGAAAAAGTTAAGAATGCAAAACCGAGTAGGGACGATACAATTTTTAAAATAAGGAAAATTAAATATATTTAAAAAAAACCTGTCAAGAATATGTTTGTTCTTTTTTTTCATAAATGTAATTTCATTATTTAAAGTATTGTTCTTTGACAGTAGGTATGAAACTTTCAAGGTAACAATCAAAAGAAATTTGATTTTTATCTTTAATCATTGTCAAGCAATTTTAATAATAACAATCTAAACATTATTATTACATTAATTATTCGTGAAAATAATAATGTTTTCAAACTGTAAGTACTTCAAATATTTTTTTTTCAAAATTCATTTAGAAAAATAGTGCGGCCAGTTATAATTCCAATAATGAGTAATGACTAACTCGCTGATGTTAAACCAACCGTGTTAAGAGGACGCGGTTCCGCATGTCACCTCAGTCTTATAAACGCGTAATACTTCAAAATTCTTCCCCCAGCAGCTCCAATTTTGTGTAAAGGGCGTCGGAGCCGATGCATTTTTTAGTACAAAACCACGTCTTACAAATAAAACGCTCATTCCCAGTAGAAAGAAAAGTAATCGGATTTCGTTACATTTTTTTTTTATTTAAGGGAAGAGAACATTTTCTATGTTGGATCGAAGCCTGATTTTTACTATTATAAATATAGAGTATAGAAGCTAAGACCGGCGCCGACACCCTTAACGGTTAATAGCTGGACAAAAATGCAAAATCGTAAGTATATATAGGTACCTCTTGCGGGTAAATCTACATGGTAAACGTGGTCCTGGTAATCCATTTCGACACTTCCGCCGGTGCAACATATGACGGACTCACACGCCGCATAAGCACACCGTATCTTCTCCCAGCACCAAGTTATAACAGTCATCCAATTTAAATCTTCCACTTGACGACCACAACAAAAATTTCGAAAACGGGTTTTTAACAAACAGTTCGAGTGTCGCCTAACGACGGAACAAAAACATGTATACATCAAGTTTCGTATATATTTTATACATAGGTATAGTACATAATACAGAGGTAATACAATATTATGACTAATATATATTTCATTATTATTATTGTATGCATGCAACAGAATAATAACATAAGAAAAACCTATGGAACTCAAATAATGCCATTTTTTCTCGATATAATTCACTGCGTACCTAAATATTACATTTTTTTTATATCGGTTATTACGCGGTATTTTCGTTTACGTTTGGTCACGGTCGTCGATGGACACGAGTGGATGTGGGCCGTGGAGAGCAAGCAAGTAGTTGTTTCAGTATATTGTTGATGATAGAGATTTGAATAGTCGCATGTAATACGAAAACAGTGGTCAAACGGACGCGATTGATCGTCAGAAACGGAGAGAGCGGAAGAAGGAAAACTACGCGCATAAGGCTCGGCGTGATGATATATTTTTAACGCGATTTTTTTTGTTTGTTTGCGGTCGCAAAAATGGAGGGGGGAGAAATCGAACGTAAAATATAGTTTTCACACTTTATCATCGGCGTATAAAATATGTAACGGAGAACGCTTTAACCCGAAATAATAATATCACGGTGCGTAGGAGGAAAATAATATAATATACAACAGCCATTACACTGTGTAAATCGTGGAGACGAACGAATCATCGCATCATGATAAATGTGTACAGATACTTACTTAAAAGATCGAAGTCGGCGAGAACACTAACACCGATATTCATCGAATTGAACTCTTCGAAATAACAGGAAATATGATAAACCAAACAACGTCCAACATTTTTTCGTTTTTTTTTTTTTTGTTCTTTATAGGCACTACTGTAGTTTGTTACCTATATTAGACATATTATTATAACACTATTGAGTGTAGAATTTAGTGTTTACTTTAACAGAGATTGATTTTAACACTTAAGTGTAGAACTCAAGCATAATACGAATAATAATAAGTACAATCAATGGAAGTATAGGTACCTAACCTAGTATAGGTAGTACAATGTTTTCAGAACATTGCTAGAAATGTTAAGAATTCATCAGGACTACTAATTCTCACCAATACTGTGAGCGGGAAATTTAATCCTGAGTCAAATGACAAAAGCAAGCAATTTACATTTATTAATTTATTGTTTTGAATAATGTTTATCGGATCAATGCTTAATCCGAAAAAGTAGGTACAGATAATCAGAATACATATTATATATAAAACTGTTGTGGAAAAATAAAAAATAAAATAAAAATTATACACTTCATAAATGAATATATATCAAACATGTACATATATTCATTACATTTGTACATTTACAAGTCTTAATATTATTATATTATTATACTTCAAATTAAAAATAATTATTGACTAATGTACAAATCCTGCGTACAACAAAAAGAATAAAATATATAATGAAAATAAAATAAAAAATAACATTGAGTTAACCGTTAATAAATTATGAAGCAAACGCAGTGAAGGATAAAACTATAATAATATGTAAATTAGAACGGCAAAATAAAAATATTTAAATAAAAAATGTGACAGTCATTAGAATTTAACTACTAAGATTATGAAAAACATGATATATAAAAAATTTAAGCATGCCAATTACAGCTAATACTTTCAAACAAATTAATGAAAACAATAAATAAAAATAAATTACTGAATACATAAGTCTTTCATATGTACAATATGCTATATTGTACACTAAATATTACATTTATACCCAACAAACTTTAATAGGTGGCGAAGTATTTGAACTTCCAGTCGTATGGTAATTAAATGATTGATTAATAGGCGTACTGGACACAGAACTCCACCTTCTTGAAACTTTATCAATTGGAAAATGTCCGGTTGGTGGCAATCCTAATTCTGGGTAAGTAGGAGAATTACTGTTATCGTGTGAACTGATTGATGAAAAACCACTCTCATCTTCTATAACATTATTTTTTTGCTTAGTTTCTTTTTTGAAAAAGTCTGATCCCTTAATAGATGTTTCACTATGATTTGAACTGCTACTAGAAACTTCCAAGCATTTCACACCGTTACAAACGGCCGGTAAAGAATCACAACTGCAAAGCTGTGGGGATTGGGTGACAATTATAATTATATGAACATGAGAAAAATAAAATAAGATTACATTCAAGTGACAAACAAACACTTACTGAGGAGTTGCTGTTCTTTTCAAACAATGTACTATAGCATGGTGTTAAGTGTTGGACTAGATCTGGTTCTTTGGTATGAATTATAGACTGAACGGTGCGATACAATCTATATGCTTCTAGTGAGAGCTTTTCTGTATACTCCCCTCTGTTACTTTTCAGTGATGGTCTTCTAGACAAAGATAATAATAAATACAAAAAAAATCATTAATTTCAAAATTAAGAATAAAATGCAAGCATTATTTATTCAAGATATTATGAAGACATTTTATCTTGTCAAAGAATTTCATATTTTTTGTTATATTAGTTTACCTATTCTTAATGGGAAGATTAGGTTTGTCATGGTTGGTGTTTAAAGAAGTGTGCGCTTTTTCCAAGAATTTAGACACTTGCTCTAACACTGCTTTATACATTTGATTACTAGCCTCAACCTGTTAACAAATTTCAAAAGTTATTTGTGCCAAGCAAAAATATCTGCGATCATGGTAAAAAAAAAAAAATATGTATAATTATATAATATAATACACGTATATAACACGCACCTGCTTCAGCTGCCACTGAAGAGTGTCTACTTGGGATTTTGCCAATGTCAACTCGATGCAAGGCGCCTGGTCATTGGCATCTTTGTGCATCAGTTTCTCGTGTTTGGAACGCAAGTCGTCGTAAAGCTAGCAAGAATAAAACGCCAAATGGTAATTTATTATTAATCAACACAGGGAAATACAATAAGTACCTAGCAATAAAGGTTATCGTGGGGCGATTATACAGCAGGACGACGAATTATTTACATATTTAGTTTTTGTTTAATGTAGAAAAAAAAACAAAAATCATCGGGCAGTCATGGTTGATAAACCATGTGTGAATCCTGTACCGTCCCGAAACTGGGTTTACTACTTGTACGCACAAAATGTTAAATAGATTACTCAATTTTCAAAACGCAAAATATCCAAATTTAAGTTAATGCTATAGTGCGAAGGATAAATAACGAAATGGTATATAAGTTTGAAAAATCTTGACCTAATATAGAGCACGTGATCTATGATATAATAGATGTGACTTTCTCTTCATAATATTAATTTAAAATATAGGTAGGTATAATTAATATTAATTAACTAAAACGAGTACGCAGTATAATAATATTGTGATAATACGATTGTCACGTGAGTGCACAATATTTTATTTAAGAGCGTAAATAAAAAAAATGCACTTATTTGTCGGTTAAGCACCTATTGGCTAAACAAATAAAGTATTTTATCCCAGTAGCTCAGATAAAAATTAATATTAAAATAAATGTAATACTTTTAGACCAATAAAATTTCAGATTAGTTCAGACAAGACTAATGTCTTGTGATCCGTCTTGATCCGTTTGAATTAATTTAAATGATAAAATGCCCATTTTTAAGTTTCATAAACAGTTAGATAAACGAGCCCGACGAAAACTAACCTAACCACCACCATTAATAAAAATGTTGAAACACGGTTGACATTGCAGCAAAACGTATACAAAAACAACCACAAAGAATTTGACGGATAATGAATCAGAATAATAATAATAATATATAGTTTACCATGTACTGAGGCGTACTATTATGAAATAACAATGGCCAAACAACATTTAAAGGAATTATGCTCTGGCTGTATTATACGTGTAATTATATACACTCTATATGCATGAACACGAAATATTTGACAGACTGACATCATGAGTAACAAAACCATGCAAGTCAGGCAATTGATCGAACGCTAGAGAGAAAGCATTTTTTTTTTTACTTAAACAAAAATAATTAAAATAATAGTAATAAACCATCGCCACACCACGGCAGGTGTATTCTGAAGTATTATTCAAAATTGTTTTGTTTTATGATCAATTAATTTCTCACGCTTTTAAATCAGAAATATTGATCAAGTTGTATTCCGCAATAACAATAACAACATCAAAAGTAGGCTATATCTTATAACATTTTTTATAACAATTGACAAAGAGCCAATAATATTCAGTGAAAGTATATTTCTTTAGAAAAGCTATTTTTCACTAATGTGCCATTATTATAATATTATCTGATTATTATTAATTTTATAACAATCTCACTTTCAGCCAGATAAACATAATACGATCTGATGCAACAGACCTTGCTAATATAGACTAGTACCTAAGTACAATGCAGAAGTAGAAAAAGTTATACTTTAGTGATAAATAATGGGAAATAGTTGGTGATTGTTCAATGTGTTCTAGTTTTCAATGAAAATTATATATACATATTGATTTAATTTGCCGAGTATAGTTTCATGTAACAAATACACATATTTTTCGGTTTAATGTAATATTTAAAATTGTCGAAGGTTAAAAATCCAATTTTTACAATGGTCATATTGTTCGAGGTGGTTTTTTTTTGTTTTGATTATAGACGATAAGAAAATATATTTTACTACTATGGCGAATTCTGTGAAATTCCGTACACCGACGGGCGACAACAGACCTCCCGGGTCTCCCTACCACAAACCGGCCAGATTGCACAATTATTAGTATAATATCACCTCTTTTCTTTCAGTTATTATTTTATTATACACCGAAGAAATAAAAAACGTTATACTGAATCAATACATAGGTGTACTTATTTTTTAGTATATAAATCACAATATAATTGAACAAATATATGTTGTACAATTGGAAAGCTAGCGATTTTACCAACGATTTTTTTTGTAACTAATCTAGATTTTTTGCATAACAATTGAATGAAAAAATGATCTCTTGAAGATCATTTTAAAATAATTTTGTTTCAGTGGATTTATTTAGAAAAAAAATTCAACCTATTTATTTATAAATGTCATTCGAGTGCCTATGATTACTGGATTTCCAATTTGCACTTAACATCATTATTTTGAATGAAAAAAAATAGGTATTTTTTAGGTAATAACATTAAATCACTGATATCCATTAGATAGCTATATGTAATAAAATAATTTTAAGTCACTATAAACAATGTATGAAGGTACTTACATTTTGCAAATGTTTGTATTCTTTTCTGATAAATTCGAAGGATTCACTGTTTTCATTTGTTTCAAACCTTTGAGAAAGTCTTCTATTTGCCTAGAAATCATAATAATATATTTTCATATAAAAATAATAATTAACTTAAAAAAAAAATTTAATAGTGAACACATAATACATATTTAATATCTACAATACACTAACATAATATATCAAACAATATAAGATATTATGTAGGTACACTCATGGTCCACAAAATATCATATACCGTCAATACAATGGAATTTTAATAGTAGCGCCAGAAATATGAATAGCACCGAGAATACTTGACAGTTTTTTATGGAGAAAGTTATCTAAATTATTACAAAACAATTTCAATACCAGTAATAATAACCTACAATGGTAAAGACGATTCGAGTATTAACAATTTTTTAGTCTGATGTAATAATCACATTTCATCAACTATTCATTCGTATGGCATAGGTATTTGAATTATTGCTCTTATATATATATGCTTTTACTGAAGAAAATTGTATAATATTATACACAGTACACACCATACGGGCATTATATAGGAAATTAGCGTGGAAATGAATACACGCAGGTCGCAGAATATACTGTTCATACAATTTAGACTAGAAGACGCGTCAGTAATTTTTGCGGGCCAAACACATACATAAAACGCGTTAAAAATAATAATAAAATAAAACCGTGATAATTTTATGGTCTAATTATTCATCGCATTAATTAAACGGGAACGAAAGTTTATTTAATACATTTTATGGGAATTAAAAAAAAGAAAACAATTTAAGTATTGAACAGTTATCAATAAATATAGGCTGTAAAAACTACATAAAAACACAATTTTAAATAAAAGTTTTAATTCATTCAGTTACTCATTGGCCTCATATGACTATTGTCGTCATTGTGCTTTTTTTGTACATAATATGTATAACACAATATAACACTATAGGATTACTGTTCACTGTGTAAACGTTATTAACATGGAAAACTACAAGTATTGTAATGTACTCTATTATATTTGCATACTACTTAGGTTCCTCCTATAACACTTCAAGATAACGGCATATTACCTGTAATCAATTATAGACCTCGAACACATCGTGATCGTGCTATGATCATATCAATTATCGTACATATTTTGGGGTACTTGTTAGTTATTGCACTTAAACCACATTTACTAATTCAATTAAAAATATTTTTTTGGCGAATCTATCTGTATATTTTAAGTCTTATGTACCACAGCAAACAAAATATTGAATAAGGTATCGTGGCTCGTGAGAACGAGATAACCTCTATGAAACAACGAAACAATAATTATAACATAATATGTAAGGAACCTAACTAAATACTTTTGAGTTTTGACTCATCGTGGTTTCCTCTGAGGTTAATAACAATTTTAAACCATTTATTAATTCAAATTGAATTTTATTACAACGGTATTCTTGCTCGAAAATTCCCATGGAATACGAATATGATTATTATAAGTTTATAACACCGTTCTAATACAGTTGTAGAATGTAGATATCCGGAGTAGCGTCAATATATGTGGATAGCCATTCGCCGGAAACAATGGCAAGATAAATTCAATTTAAAAAGGCAAAACCCACAAACTGTCGTGGTGCTGATACATTTTTTTTTTTGTGTCCCGTTTTATTTTACAGCTACTTCCACCAATGGACTTTATGTTGTAATTTTGGCAATAATGTTCGATTATTTCACGATTCTTCACGCAACTAATATAAACGACCCCAGACAAAAACCATTAAGACAATGTAGGAGGATAAATAAAAAAAGTGGGAATTTGATCTTGAGTAGACTTAACGACAAATTTAAATGTGTTATTCAGAATACTTAGCGCTTTACTAGATCAATCGGTAAGTTAGAACACGTCTAAATTTCTATAACATAACTTACAAGTGACTAAGAAAAACCACCATTTTTAGTTCTCTAATATTCATATTTTATTCAAAACTGGATGTGCTTAATCTATATTATACAACGTTGTAATATTTAGTTAAAAATTAAAATAATATTAAAATGTAAACATACTATAATTAATACTATAATAAATAATATTATTAATAATAAATACAAATCGGCAAAATGGGGAATTTAAAGTGTTATTTTTTTTTAGTCGACTAACTAGGAAGTAACAACATTGTATTTAATTTATAATAAATACATTTAAAATTTAGATCAATTTTGTTGATATTGTTTACTTCATACTTGCTTAGATTCAATTGTTGAAATCATGCAAAATTTCTAGTTTTTGTGATCAAAAATTTAAAATAAAACTTTAAATTATTATATTATAAATACTATATACTTCGGTAGTTACGTATGCTAAAATATTAATATTTGGTACATGTTAATCGGTTCCTATTTCTATGTTTAGTACTCCACACTGTATATTATACGAAATTATTAAATGTCTAACGACTAATTTGTGTCAGTATTATTTACATTTGTAATAAATTGCAGCTAATGCGTTTTTTTAATATAAAAATATAAGAACAATTTTATAAGCACAATAATTTTATAATATTATGATTTTATTTTACAGCCATGACAATATTCTATCGATAACTAAAAGTATTTCGGAAATCTTTAATTGTTTTATTAATTATTATATGTTTATTGTTTATTGTATGTACCTACCTAATTGAAAACATAATCAATTTATAAAAAAGTACGGAATGAATAGCGAAATATTATCGAAGGTAAGGGGGGTCTGGGCAAACATGTTCAAAAAATAAGGGAAAAAACTGGTAACTACTACAATAAGTACATAGTATATATAAACATACATAATCACATAAGACACAACCACCTATAATATTATAAATAATAGGTACCAAATAATATAACTATATAGTAAGTAGTAAATACCACCTACCTACTACCAAGCAATATATTTTTTTTAATATATAATTGTACTTAAGTGTCCATATCGTTGTTAACTTTTTTGATACAATAACTGAATGCAAAATTGACCTTTAAACCGTTACACTCCATGGACTTTCTAATTCAAGATCTCATGGCTCATATTATACAATTATATTATACTATACGTACTCAGTATTCACTATAAAACAGTACAAACATTAGTGTTCATAAAGTATGCATTTTTAAATGAGTACTTTGTGTCAGTATGTTATATTGTATGGTACTTATAAACTACAACTGTGTAAAATAATATAACTGACTCATATTTTCAACAGGAATCACACTACAAACCAACAGTGCTATCTTAAACGACTGAACTATACTATCTAAATCCAAGAAATTTCGTCCGTTAAACGGAAAAAAATCAAAGAAATCCAAGAAGAAATCTCAAATCTGTCGTTTGTTATTTTTTTTTATGAAGTAGACTTATGTTTATCATAGAGACCAAAAATAAAAACTCCATATATATTTACCGGTTATGAACAATTGTTACGTAAATAACATAACCTGTACATTTGCATACACCTTCAACGTTTTACAAATATAGGTAGATATATCAACAACTTAACCATAATATTTGAAGTCTTTATATGAATTTCTGATTATGTATAGAAAAAAGTGGTGAATTAAACCGGTTCTATTTGATTCATGGTCAAAGCAAATCAAGCCTTTTATGGTTCTTCGACAATATTTTAAGTTTCAACCCCTTGCATCACTATTATAGTAAAGTCGAGTAAAGTAAATAAATACAAAAGCGGACACAAGAGACGGCGAGGCTTCACTAAAACTATTTTAAAGTTTCTTTTTTGATTACATTTTAGATATAGTAAATTGACATAAAGGTGGTACCTCAAGTGGTACCTAGTACCGAAGTTTTTAACCGTATCTAGTAATAATAGATTACTCATCCTGTTTATGATTTATCAATTTTTAAAGTCACGAGTATCGCATTAATTTATACGACTTATATAAGTACTTAATATGTGATGTAGATATTTTGTGAATTTGTTTATTTATTCATTTCTAAATACACAACCAAATAAATAAACTAACAACAACACCCATTTTTATTCATAATATAAATTTAACGTCGTTTAAATTGATAAAGTTGTCATGGAAAATTGTTCACAATGAATAGTTCAGAATTCAGATTACATACTACCTAAATCACATTTTCCTAAATATTATTTTAATAATTGAGAAATGGTGTAGAATATAATTAAAATAATATTTCGGTATATCAAATTGAACAAAACATTACGTAATGCGTTGATAATAATAGAATTGGGAGTTTCTAACTATTTAAGATTACAATTTATTACGACGAAAATCGTTGTACTTAATGTCTCAATGGTAAATACTTGGGACTCAACTATACATCTACAGAATAAATTAAGTGCAAATTATTTTTAGTAAATCATAAACATACTATAATAGCTTAACCAATAATTCAATAACACATCCACACAGGTATAACTGTATAATATCGTAATAATACTAATCAAGGTGAAAATAATACGAAATAATATGAGAATTGTACAGCGCACGGATATTGTAAGTAACACGAGCAAAGCAACTTCCCCTTCCGCCCAACAGGTGGGACTCGAGGAAAAATTGTAATAAATATTATGCCGGTAAGCGGGTTACCGGAAATTGAATTTTTTTGTTAATAGGTGACTTCTTGAGAAAAATTTAATATCAACAAAGTGCCAAACCTACCCAACATGCACACACGTCCTACCTAACCACGTTTCTAACAAGCTCATCTATCCACATGAATAATTAAATTTTTCTCTCGATTCAACAAACGGAACGTTGGGCACCTCCTACAAAAATAACGAATTTTTTTTACCGAGCTCCAATTAACACACCATCCCCCCTAGTAACCGGTCAATGCAGGTAAACATCGCACCGCGCCTCCGGCAAAACCCATCTCGATAATCCGTCACGTACGAAGACGAAGTGGATAATAATAATAATATTATTACCGCGTAGCTAGTATTTACCCAGTCGGGGAAGTCAATCGATATCGTGGAAAGATACGCCTAGACACTACGGCGGCGGCGGTGATACATCGATATAGGTATTCGACACGCACGAAAATATTATGATTGTAACAAGACTTCGATCGGGAAAAGGGAGGACCGGTTTGTTTTTCGAAATTACCTGTCGATGCGATCCGACGGTGTTATACCGTTCGTTGCCGGTCAAGTCCAGATCGGCAAAGTTCAGCGACTTGGTCGTCTCGAGCGCCATGGATTTGGCGAACGAGCTCTTGAAGTACTGCCGTTGGTTGAGGACGTGGTGTTGGTCGCGGTCGCCGTCGGACAGACCGTCGAACGAACCGGACAGATAATGATTTCTTTCCATTTCCGGTGGCGGTGGCGTGCTCCTTCCGGGACTGGAACCACGGTTGTCGTCGTCGTCGTCGTTTCACGGGCAATAAACAAACGAGGGGCGACGATTGCAGCGGTGCATATAAACGCTCGCGGCACACACACACACACGCTCGGGCCCAAGTCGTCGACCTTTCACGATTTATTATTACACCTCGTGCGGTATTGTAGCTGCCACCTACCTACAACTGTATACCTATATGCGATGTTATTTTTTCTTGAAACTAGGCCAAAGCCAAACGGTCCAGTGAAAAGACGCGTCCAGTGCCCGGCTGGAATGTGAGTAAATATAGATCTGCCGGTCCCGTGCGCGGACGGCGGCGGCTTACACTTCCGCAAAAATCAGCGGCGCAAACGAAAATAAAAACGGACGAAAATTCAAAACGTCACGTGGGCCCCCCACTGCGCACGCGCGCGCGACAAATGACAAAACCGTCGCGACTCGTGCCGACCACAATAATCGCACGGGCCACGGACGCGAAACCCGACGGACGCACAGCAACGGCGGCAACGACGGCCGGCGGAAAACGACGACGCTGAACGACGGACGGCTGACGATAGCGCGCGCGCTGACGAAAAGTACGCACAACAACCGTAGCCGGACCATAGAGTAATGCTTTCGGTTGCGCCGTGGGCGGTGCGGACGGTTACCGCGGTTGCGGTCTCGTCCGCTCGAGCGCTCCGTCCGCGTGCGAACGACACAATATACGGTTATCACTGTATGCAGAACAATATTGCTGTAATCAGCTCGGCGGTGGTTATCGCGGACGGTACGAACAGAAAAATTAAATACCACTTCAAAATCGTTTCCTTATCTTCGTTCTCCGTCATCGACTGGCGCGACAGCCGCGGCCGCCAAACATAAAGCACCGCAGTATTGCACACGATCGGTCGTACTACGACGGTTAGTACTTCCGATATACTTATACACATGACTTGAACACGCTGTGATCTTAGGTACTTAACGTCTTTACTCCTCTTTTTTCCTCGTTCACTTTTTCTTCCTCTTTTATTTGTCTTTATTTTTCGTTCGCTTCACGTCGTCACCGGTTCCCGCCCCGCCCAAGCTCCACTCATCATCTGGTCTCCACCGAAATGAAGTTCGCAGAACATCTCCAGGCTCACATCACGCCAGAATGGCGGAAACAGTACATCAACTACGAGGTATGTACCCACACGGAGGACCCATCGGTCTGTACGCACGACTCCGACTGTAGCTTTCATCATCATCATATTGTTATTATCTAGGACATGAAAGAGATGCTTTACAAAATCGTAGAAGAAGCTCCGTCAATAGAGTCCACAGATCCAGAAAACCTGCACCGCCGTTTCATTCAATTCGACGAACATTTTTTGCAGTATTGCGAAAAGGAATTGGCTAAAATCAATGTTTTCTACTCTGGTTTGTAATGCTGAATAGTGTATAATATAAATACTTTTTGATATTGTTATTACCTATGTGATGATTTTTCAGAAAAACTTGCCGAAGCAATGCGTAAGTTTCAAACATTAAAGAATGAGCTTGATTTACTTTCCAACACTGCAATAAAAATGAAAGATTATGGTAAAAAGTCTGATTCCAATAAACTGAATTTACCTCAACGAAAAGTGCAAGAGCTTAAATTAGCTTTCAGCGAGTTTTATTTGAGCTTAATACTCTTGCAAAATTATCAAAATCTAAACTATACAGGTTTTAAAAAGATTTTGAAAAAACATGATAAGGTTTGTATTTTTATAAATAATATCTTAAATTTCACCTAATTTTTAAATTCATGATATATAATACTATTGAGTTGAATTTCTATGAAAAAAATATTTTTCATTTCTTGTGCTTCAATGTAATATCATCCTGTAGAATCTAATATTAATTTGTTATTGCCTACCAAATTGATAAACTGTGATCTCCAATACTTTTAGTGCCATCAATTTGTATGTACCCAATTATACCATATCATTTAGCTTCTAATTACTTTCTTATAATCTAAATTCTAATCCATTAATTATTTTTTTATTTACTTTTCTTTATTTGATTAACAAATGTTGAATAAGTTTTATTGGAATTCTGCCTTATCAGTATTTTTTAAACAAAGTAATTTGTAGACATTTGTTTTACATTTTCATAATTACTAGCTATTTTCCAATCTTTGATTTGTACACAAATCTAATTTTTATGTCAATAGTAAATTAATCTAATACTTGATAGTATTTATACAATTTCAATTACCTAATTTTTTGTCAATACTAATAGTGTATTGTATTATGTATGATAATGTCAGTTTTATGATGAAATTACTAGAATCAAAGTATTATGACTCATTTTTAGTTTTTTAGGTTAGGTTACACAAAAAATGTAATATTTAAGCTTCTTAAAGAGAATAAATACTTTTGCATTTTTAAATTATGCTGACAGGCTATCAGTTAAAACGTAATACACTTATTTCCTAAAGAAGATTTTCATAATTCACAAATATTTTCATAGTTATACCATCTACACAGCTTTGTGTACTTATCTCAATCAAATTTTAAACTACATACACCTTAATACCAAATTGAGTTATTTAATTTTATCTAAAAAAACGCATATTTTAATAGTAAATTAATTGTTATTGCGTTTGTTGCTTATTGATTTGTATACAAAAATACATTTATAAATTAAAATACTACAATTTTAATAACTTAACATTAGTTTTTATTATATGGAGTAAACAATTATGTTTAAATACTTTCATCACTCATTTTAAATTTTACAGCTCAATATGAATGTCTTCTTTTGTTTAACTTCTATTGGTTTATTTGTCTTGTGTCATGTTTCATTATTATTAACTATTAATACTAAGTGAAATATTTACAAACATAACATTCTTAGTAGATACTATCATAACCAATAGGTTTCTGTGTTATGAATAATAATGTGGAACAATATCCATTGATTTAAATACCCTCTTCTAATTTAATAACTTTTTTGTTTTTTTTTTTAGTTATATTTTAACTAAATAAAAGCTCCATGATTGTATAGGGAAAAAAAATCTTTTAGGCTTATATAATAATATTGTTGTGTACATTGTATGTGTATTAACATGCTTTAAAACAGACAGTTTATTAAATACATTTGAGTTTTAGTCACGGGAGCTTAAAGTAAGGAAATTGTCTGTGGGGGCTATGCCCTCATGGAATTTTCGCCATAGGAGCCGTTGCCTACATTGTTCCGGTGCCCATGTATAATCTACATAATGTTTAAGCTATACAACTTATAATTTATTTAGTTAAATACACAAATTTTAAGTTGGGTATTATATAGCTATAGACGAGTAACTACTATCTTCTAATTAGAACCTAACCTAACCAGCTGATCATAGATTATAGACCATAGACAATCATATACCTTTTATACTAATAGACTGGCTCTCTTCACGTTTCCACCATGTCAAGATAGTTGGTGCTTTTTGGTTATTGAGTTACTCTGATATGGTACAATACTACAATATATATATTATACTCCATCACTATGTCATATCCCCAAGCTTCTATCAATATATTTGGTTTAGAGTGGGCCGGTCTATAAGTAAAAGGTATTTTATATCAAAACACCTGAAATTTGACAGTAAAAAAAATATGCATTTTTTCTTTCTTTGAATGTTTCTTTTTAACTCTATCAGCTTTGTCTATTAGCTACAATACAAATTTGGAAAGTATTATGAAATGTATAAAAAGTATAATTTTCTTTCAATATAGATTTATAATAATGGTTAAGCAATACCATATTGATGTAGGACAAATTGATAAAGTTCCATTGTTGTATTTATAATAATATAATTACCAATTAGCTTTGAATACAATCAAAAATAAATATTACTGTAAATTAAAATTTGATAAACATATGTTATCTATAGAATATTAAGAGTTATATTGAATAATTTAACTCCTATTCCTATCTTTATCAAGCTTCAGATACACTACTGTGCCTAAGGTCTATTATTATTTCTATAGACATTTAAATTTTTTTACTAAATTGTCAAATTTAAAAAAATTATATATTTTAGTTGATGAATAAAGAAAGTGGTGCAAAGTGGCGTCAAGAGCAAGTAGAAATATCTCATTTTTATACCAATAAAGACATATTACGTTTAATTAATGAAACTGAACATACTGTTACTCACGATCTGGAATTTGGTGATCGTCAAAAAGCTATGAAAAGACTTAGAGTTCCACCCCTTGGTGAAACACAAAGTCCTTGGACCACATTTAAAGTGGGATTATACTTAGGATGCCTTATTGTTCTGCTAGTTGCAATTTTCATTTCTGGTAAGTGTACATTGTACCTATTAGTATAAAAAATCTTATAAATTACTAAAAAAATTATTTGAATTTTTGTTTTAGCTACTTTTGAAAAAAAAACCAACATTAAACAAGCATTCCGTTTATATCGTGGACCATTCCTTATAATAGAGTTCCTTTTTCTGATGGGCATTAATGTTTACGGATGGCGATCTTCTGGTGTTAATCATGTTTTGATATTCGAACTGGATCCAAGAAAGCATGTCACTGAACAACATTTGTTTGAAATTGCAGGAATCCTTGGTGTTGTGTGTGCTCTTAGTATTTTAGGTTATTTATACTCTGATGCCCTGAGTATACCTGCATATATTAATCCCTTGTCATTAGTAATTTTATTTACATTGCTCATGATTAACCCAATTAAGATATTTTACTTTGAAGCAAGATTTTGGCTGTTACGTATAGTAGTAAGTTAATTTGCATTTTTAAAAGTTGTTTCATTTTATAAATTACTTAGAAAGTATAAAAATTTGATTTTAGTGGCGAATGGCTTGTGCTCCATTTTATTATGTTGGATTTGCAGACTTTTGGCTTGCAGATCAATTGAACAGTCTGGTAACTGTTCTGCTCGATGCTCACTATTTGGTTTGCTTTTACATTTACAATAACAATTGGTATCAAACTTCAGGTTAGGCAAAATCTGTGTTTAAACCTTTAAAATATTGTTCTTGGATTGAACAATATTTACACCTTTTGGTCTATGTTAATTGTGTATTTCAATAATTTTAGAGGTTAAATTTAATGTTGAAGAATATTTTATTTCAAAAATGATAGTCAATTGTATTCCTGCTTGGATTCGGTTTGCTCAATGTATAAGACGTTACAGGGATACTGGTGAAACATTTCCACATTTAGCTAATGCCGGAAAGTATTCAACAACATTTTTTGTTGTGTTTGCAAGAACATTGTTGAAACAAACAAAAAGTAATAAACCTTTTAAACTGTATGTTTAGTATTTATAAATGTGCTCAAATGAGTAAGAATATTGTTATTGTGTTATAGATAACTATACAAGTAGTTATGACAATCCATTCTTTTTTTTTTGGATCATATGTTCTGTGATAAGTTCGATTTATACATACACTTGGGATGTAAAAATGGACTGGGGTTTATTTAATAACAATTCTGGAGAATATACATTCTTAA